AGGCCTGTCAGTCTGTTTGACGGCTTAGTGGCCTGTTGGGCCACTCACGAAGCAGCCACCACGTAAACAGTAGACCGACTGCGCCGACGGCCTTGTCTGTAGCGGGAAGCTAAATTAATACATGTGCTAAGATGTGTATGTAACTGGAAAAGAATATTGAATGTGATGTTTCTGGAATAAATCCCGAGGCCCCAATCCGACTTCATTGTCTGTGTGGTGTTTTTCCTGTATGCCCAAATGTCGGCTCTTCCCTTGGCTGTGGGGTGCGCTTGAACTGTCCTCAGAGATGTAGGACTGTCTGAGCAGCTGTGGGCCGGCGGTGTGCCAGGCCTCCGTTTAGGGAGTTGGACGGGTCTTGGTTTGGGAGTTCAATCGGGCGCTTAGATCCTGGGCCCCCCCGCGGCAGTCGTCTTACGGCATGAACGCAGAGTGGTATTGGGAGAGCCTGGGTTGTAATCTGCGAGGGCTTCCTCTTAACCCGGGGAAAGGCGCTGGGAGTGTCCCTGGTAAAGTCAGAAGGAGGCGCGCCAGAGCAGGGAAATGACGGCAAGGAAGAGCGTGACCATCCCGTGGCCGCAAGGTGGCAGCGGGCTGAGATAAACGCGCCTTCCAGGAGCTGCCCCCCTCAAGGTGCGTCTTGGTCTTTGCACCTCCTGTCCTGCCCCGCGTCGGGCGGAATAGCGCCGCGGGGGGCTGTCAAGATACGGCGGAGCTGACGTTCTTGCATTGAGCACCGCCCGTGGTCTCTGCTGATGGACCCCAGACAGTTAGGGCGCGCGACACAGTAAAGGGCCTGGGTGACGGCGGGTGCTGGGCACCCTGGTTGATGGAAGGAGGCCTGCAGGGATCCACAGGGAGAAGACTTCCAGAGGGGGTTGTCCATGCCTGGAGTATTCCCCAGCCTGCTCCCCTGCCTCTGGTACTCCAATCCGGACACACCCCAGGGAGTGGCCCCCTACAGCCTGGACCTGCTGGTGCTGGACTTGTTTTCCCAAGACCATGTCTTAAAATAGTCTTTGCGGGTAAGTCGTGGCTGGCCTTGTGTTCGTGGCTTTCTTCTGGATTGGTGGAGGAGGCTCAGAGCAGGTGGGGCCTGTCCGTCTCAAAAAGAGCGGACGTTCGGAGCAAGGCGAGAGAGGTGTTTATGGTCGCTTTGTTATGTGCTTAAAACGACACTTAACCACACATATTTCATCCTCCCTTGCTAGTCCTGAACGTTCCGTCTTTGAAGGACAGGACCCCACCTGCTTGAGCTCTTCCTCACACAATCCAGAAAAGAAAGCCACGAACACTAAGGCCCAGCCACGATACCAAAAGCTATTTTAGACATGTGTTCTTTGGGGAAAACAAGTCCAGCACACCAGGTCCAGGCTTGTAGGGGCCAACTCCATGGGGCCAGATCTGAGTGACAGAGCAGGGGACAGCTGGGGTATACTCCAGGCAGTGACACAAACCTTCTGGAGTCTTCTCCTGTGGATCCCAGGCCTCCTTCCCATCACCACAAAGGCGCCCAGCACACCCGTCACCCCAGGCCCTTTACTGTGTAGGAGAATTAACTGTCTTGGGGTCCAGTCACAGAGAAAACGGGAGGTGACTCAATGCTAAGAAGTCAGCTCCGGGCAGTATTTCGAAGCCAGTTCCGGGCAGTATTTCAGCAGACTGGAGCAGGACAGGGGTGCAAAGACAAGACGGCACCTTGAGGGGTGGAGGCTCCTGGGAAGGACGTTATCTCAGCCCGTGCCACTCTGCCACGGGATGGTCACGCTCGTCTTGCCCGTATTTCCCTGCTCTTGGCCGACTCTTCTGGACTTACAGGGACACTCAAGCGCCTTCCCCGGGTTAAGAGGAAAGCTCTCGCAGTTACAAACAGCTCTCCCAATACCATCTGCGTTCATGCCGTAAGACATGACTGCTCGGGGGGCCCAGGATCTAATGCGCCCGATTTAACTCCCAAACCAAGACCCGTCCAACTCCCTAAGGAGCTGGGCACACAGGAGGCCACAGCTGCTAGAACAGTCCTACATTCTGAGGACAGTCAAGGCACCCCACAGCCACAGGGAGGAGGCCGACATTCTGCATACAGGAAAAACAGCACGCAGACGAATGAGTCGGTAATTGGGCATCAGGGTGATTTATTCCAGAAACATCAATTCATATTATTTTTTCCAGTACATATCATATCTTAACACAATATATTAATTTAAGCAATACACGTTTTCCGTCTACAGACAAGCACGTAGGGGAGAACGTAGGTAACTGTTTACTGTGGGGTGGATGCTTTCGTGAGTGGCCCAAACATGCAAACTAAGACAGTAAAAGACTGACAGCCTCCAATAAACTCCCCTCCCCCCCCAGCTCTCCTACCTTGGGAGGGGTAGGTGTCTTCCTGCAGCAAATAGCACCTGTTAGTACCTCAAAACTTTGCCATGCTGCAGCCTCCCAGAGGATTTCACAGCTGAAGATGCTAAAAACGCTCTGAAAGTCAGAGGAAAAAACATAAATGACAATAAGGAAAATGGGCTAACAGGTCAAAGTGCTCCTGGGCCTCAGGCCTCCTCCTGAGCACTTTTCCTACAGAGGACAGTGCGAGTGGCCCTGGAAGTCACTCTTTCAAAATAGTTGGAAACAGCATTGCCAACTGTGTGTCTCAGTAGAGGCTACACACTCAGACACGTGGCCACTGGGCACAGAAACCAAGTCACCTTGGAGTCTGGCTCCATTTATTTGTATCCCTACAAAACAGGGTCTTAAGCAGGCCAACACTCAGCAAGTATGCAGTCAGGAACTGACCAAACAGACCTGGCAGGTCCTAATCCAAAACAATCCCATTCTAGGCACAGAGAAGCAGCAGACACGGAGTCAGCTTTCCAGCCAGCACACATACAAATCTTCCAGTAAACTGACCTGCAAAGAAAGGACACCTCATCAGCTTTGATTCTACTTTAACAGGTCTGAATATTTAAAACCATTAGCACTGGCCTGGCGTGGTGGCTCACACCTGTAATCCTAGAACTCTGGGAGGCTGAGGCGGGTGGATCGTTTGAGCTCAGAAGTTTAAGACTAGCCTGAGCAAGAGTGAGACCATGTCTCTACTAAAAATAGAAAGAAATTAGCTGGACAATTAAAAATATCTAGAAAAAATTAGCCAGGCATGGTGGTGCATGCCTGTAGTCCCAGCTACTCGGGAAGCTGAGGCAGGAGGATTGCTTAAGCCCAGGAGTTTGAGGTTGCTGTGAGCTAGGCTGACACCATGGCACTCACTCTAGCCTGGGCAACAAACTGAGACTCTGTCTCAAAAAAAAAAAAAACCCCAACCATTAGCACCATGAAATACTCTCCAAAATCTAAGTCTACCTTCTACCCAGAACACAGTGTGGAAGGTACCTCGGATTCTGCCCCATGGGGACCTTGCATCTACCTGTCTCTCGTCCTTCCAAATCTAATGGCACTGCCAGAGCAAAGGCTGGTCACCTCCTACTCAAGACTATCACAGGGACTTCCTACCCCACCTCTCTCCAGGCTGTTATCAGTAGACCTTAGACCACCTCCTGTGGTCTCAGAACCTGCCGGTTTCAAAGCCACCCCAACTCTTGGCATTAAAAGCCCCTACAACCCAGCCCCAGTCTACATATTCCTACTTCGTGTGCCTTCCCTTCCCTCTAGCCATGTGTTCCCCCAGTATGGCCCCCACTTGAGCTCCCCACACCCTCCCAAGCACTCTCATGCTTCCTGCCTTTGTCACATGCTTCATCAGCTGGAAATGGCCTTTGCTTCTGCTTCCCTCCCAGGGTCACCTTCTCTGAGGGTCTCACTGAAAATGCTCCTTCCTCTTTAACCTCAGCACTCACTGTTGTCTACCTTGCTGAATTTGAAGCCCCTAACTCCAGGGTCCATACTTTTCTTTAAATTCTCTCCAAGGCATACGACTTAATGCCTTGACCACTGTAGGCACTTAAATGCACTGATGAAGTCACCTCTCGATCTATTTACTGACAACAACACAGGCAAAGACAAAAGGAAGAATGCTGCTTCATGAAAGAGCAGGTGAAACCACAGCCAAGGAAACAAACATTAAAAATTCCATAAACTTGCTGGGCGCAGTTGCTCACCACTGTAATCTCGGCGACTCAGGAGGCTGAGACATAGGAAACCAAGAGTTTGAGACTAGCCTGGGCAACACAATAGAACCTCAGCTCTAAAAAGATTTTTAAAAAATTAGCCAGGTGTGGTACTGATGGCGCATGTTTGTAGTTCCAGCTACTCCAGAGGGTGAGGCAGGAAGACAGCATGAACTCAGGGGTTCAAGGCTGCAGTGAGCTATGATCAAGCCACTGCACTCCAGCCTGGGTGACAGAGCAAGACTCCACTTCAAAAAATAAACAAAGAAGATAAAAATTAAAAAAAAAAAAAAATCCACAAACAGCTACTGTTTGAGACCCTGAGGAGAAATGAACATGATTTCTAAGGCGGAATCCGTCTCAGCCTTTATCCTAGAAAGGAGGAGGTGCAAGAGATGTAAAGGGATGTCTCTCTAGGCCATGATCCCCAGGAAGGTGTGGCCACTCCCTCCATGTGCTCGAGACCCACACTGTCCAACAAAAGCCGCCACTAGCCATGTGTAGCTATTTAAATTTAAGTTAAAGTTAAAAATCTGGCCCCTTTGTCACACCAGCCATACTGCAAGTGCTCAGTGACATGTGTCTTGTGGCTGCTCTGGATGGTGCAGATACAGATGACTTCTACCGCTGCAGTAAGTTCTGGTTTGACAACACTGTTCTGTACATAGTGATCTTTCCAAATCACGGACTTTTTGCTCAATGCAGAAAAAAAAAAGAACAAATCACGGACTTTTGTACATTATCTTGTTTAAAACCCACAATGGTATACCACTATTCTCAGGGCAAAGACCAAAACCCTCACCTGAGCCACAAGACTCTGTGTGGTCTGGTCCTTTCCTACCTTTTGAGCTTCATTCCACACCATTCTCCACCTTGCTTTCTGGGCTATAATGGCCTACTTACAGTTCCTTCACCAGCCCCTCGTCAGGCCACTGGGCACATGCTGTCCCTGTCCCTGGCCTTCCCAGCAAACTGCTACTCACCCTTCAGAGTTCAGCTCAAGGGCCCTATCCTCAGGAAAGCCTTCCAGTGTCCTTGTGATATAAATTCTTACAGGACTGTGCCTTCCTTCAGAGCATTCACTTTGGCTTGAATTACACCCTCTTAAGTGTGATCAATTAACCTTGTCTCCCTGCCTGGGGTGTAGCTGCCTGAGAATAAGGGCCATGACTGTTTTGTTCATTTCTGTATCCATAACACTTAGCATGGTGCCTGGCCAAAGCATCGGTAAATATTTACTGCATGAAACAGATAACATCAACACTGTTATTAGGTTTTAAAAACTACCTGCTCTGTGATACTAACTATCCTTCTTTCAGCATAGGTCCTGTTTGCAGTATCATACATGATCATCAAACTGCTGCTAGAATGCTCACACCTGTTACTGCAAATTCAAATCCCAGGAAAGACTTCTGGGAATTTTCTTTAGGTCAGGGTTGGGCTGCCTGGTACAAGGCTGCACCCACAACTGGGCGGGTTCAACAACACAGGAGCCTTTCCCCAGACCATCTGCCTTAGCACACTTTGGCTCCACACCTGACACACCTGGATTCCCCAAACTGAGGGGTCGCTCCGAATGCTCGCACCAACGCGGAGCAGGATATAATCCTCGCATAGCTTCAGCCAACCGTCGGGGACTGGATACTTCTCATTTTCAGCGGACACCCTGGGTGGAAAGAGTAAAAGGATAAGTGATTCGATGCTTACCGCAGCCCCAGAAACCCGAGCTAAGGCGGCCTGGGGCCCCGAGGCTCTTCTGCAGGCCACAGCGCCTCCTTACAGCCTCGCACTGCAATTTCGGTGGCTGCGTGCGGACCAAGTTCCCTTTGTCGCCCCCGACCCCCTTTTCCCTTCCCGGTTTGTTAAGGGGGGGGGGGGCCTTGGGGCCCGGGGCCCGGGGGGGGGGTTTTTTGTTTTCGGGGGCGGGGCTTCCGGCCCCGGAGTTGGTTCGTTTACCTTCGGGGCCGGGGCCCCGTTTTCCGGGCGGGGTCGGGTGGGGGCGGAGGTTGGGGCGGCCCGGGTTGGCCCGGGGGGCGGGGGCTGGGGGCCCGGCGGGGGGGGGGGGGGGTTTCCCCTCCGACAGAACAAAGCACATGTCTCCACTCTCTGCCGACCCTCCTGCACGGAAGCACTTCCGCCCGCACACTTCCGGCCGGAAGCGAGGACGACTTACCATCGAGACAGCAGCTAGAGGGCCGCCCTCGACTTTGGTCCTCCAAGGCGGTCTTAAAGGGGACGCAGGCGGAGATTTGAATAACGGAGACGAGCGCCTGGACGGGAGGGGAGGGCCCTAGAGCGAGGGAAGCAGAAGGGACATCCCATCTCTTGGGAGCCTGCTGGGTGCCGGGAGTCATGTGGGCCTCGTCCCTTTGCGCCTCGCCACCGGTCCCCGGGGAGCAGGTGCAGGGACCGCGCCCGCTTACACCCGCGGTTCTGCACCCGTTCTGCTCCCGGCCCCGCTGGGTCTGCACCCCGGGTGGCCTGGGGAGGGCCGGGGCCGACTTTGCCTGTCGGGACAGCCGCTGGAAAGCTCATCCCGCCAACAGACCAGCACCCCATAGGGTCCCGGCAGCTCAGTGTCTCAGGGGGCAGAGGCTTACTCCAGGTCCGACCCCACAACCAAGGAAGAGTTTGCTGGGCTTGTGGAAATGGCAGAAGTTTGGAAGACACCGGGTCGCCGCCCTCGTTGGCTTAAAAGCACTCTACTTCAGTCATCGGCCCTTAAGTCATGGGCCTTCTACTTCTGCAGACGAGTCACCTGTCAGCAGTGTGGCGCCGCTGGCCCCAGGTTCATAGCAGCAGCATTCACAATAGCCAAAAGGTGGAAACAACCCAATGTCCATCAACAGACGAATGGATAAACAATACGTGGTCTGTTCATACAACAGAATATTATTCAGCCATAAAAATGAAGTTTTGTGGGGGTTTTTTGAGACAGAGTCTGGCTTTGTTCCTGGGGCTAGAGTGCCATGGTGTCAGCCTAGCTCACAGCAACCTCAAAACTCCTGGGTTCAAGCAATCCTCCTGCCTCAGTTTCCCGAGGAGCTGGGACTACAGGCACACGCCGCCACACCCGGCTAATTTTTTTCTATTTTTAGTAGAAACGGGGTCTCACTGTCACTCAGGCTGGTCTTGAACTCCTGACCTGCAGCAACCCTCCCGCCTCAGCCTCCCAGAGTACTAGGATTACAGGAGTGAGCCACTGCAACCGGCCAACGAAAATGAAGTTCTGATACATGCTACAAACATGGATGAACCTTAAAACATGCTAAGTGAAATATATCAGATATAGGACAGAAAAGGACACATATTGCAGGATTCAATTCATATGAAATATCTAGAATATGCACATTCATAGAGACAAAGTCAGTAAGAGGTTCCCAGGGTTGGGGGAAGTGGAGAATGAGGGGCTGTTGCTCAATGGTTATAGAGTTTCTGTTTGGGCTGACAAAAAACTTGTGGAAATAGCCGTGCTGTGATGGTTGCACAACATTGTGAATGTACTAACTGCCCACAACTATACATTAAAAATGGTCAAAATGGTAAATTTTATGTTATGTAGATTTTACCACAATAAAAATTTTTTTCTAGTTAAAAACAATGGTTAAAATGGCATATTTTATGTAGTATGTATTTTAGCATGCACACACACAAAGAATGAGGAAGTGGTTAGAAAACCCACCCTCCCAGATACATTTTTAAGTGAAGAAAAAAAGCAAAGTGTGGAACAATATTGTTTGGTATGCTAACGCTTATTTTAAACTGTATAACATAAAAAAGTTTTCATCTTAACCATTTAAAAGTATAACAGTTCAGTGTTTTGTGTTTAGTGTATTCAAATGTTGCGCAACCTCCAAGTCTAACGCTTATTTTAAAAAATAATAAAGAATATTCACATGTTTAAGAAAAATCAGATAAACTGGGCAATGCCCTGGTGGACAGGACAGGCCCCCGAGGCCTGGAGTACCCCTAGTCCCAGAGGTCTGTTGCGGGGTTCTGGAGACCCTTCAGGCCCACAGAGCAGAGAAGAAGGCGTGGGACACCCTCCAGAGCTCTCTCCGGGTCTAACGTCCTATGATGAGGCGAGTGGCCCTGAAAGGGAACCCTGGACAAAGTCAGACACACCCCTCAGCCTCTGGGGAAACAGAGGTTTAGAGGAAAGCTCGGTATTGAACCCAAGGCTAGAAGCACTGCAGTGGAATACAGCTGAGCTGTTGGAAAAATGTACTTCTATCCAGACAGTTCTCCACTGATCCCAGGGAGGAAGGCAGGAGGGTCTCCACGGGGGCGTTCTCAGGAGGACTGGATGTTAAACAAACAGGTGCAAGGAACAGAGTGGGGGTGGGCCGAGGGGATGTCGCAGGGGCAAACCTGTAAGGAAACGGCCGTCAGCTCCGGCTCGGAGGCAGCTGACAGGTGCAAGTGCAGACAGCAGCAGAGCAGCAGACGGGGCTTTTCCTTTTTTAAACCGCATAACATAAAAAGTTTTCATTTTAACCATTTTAAAGTATACAGTTCAGTGTTTTGTGTTTAGTATATTGTTTTGTGTTTAGTATATTCAAATGTGCAACCCCCAAGTCTATCTGGTTCCAAGATATTTTCACCACTCCATAAAGAAACCCTGTGTCCAGTAGCAGTCACCCCCTCCCCTCCCCCAGCCCCTGCTAACCTCTGACCTCTGTGGATTTGCCTTTTCTGGACACTCATATATTAATAAATGAATGGTACCATATGTGGCCTTTTGTGTCTGGCTCCTTTCACTGAGCATAAAATTTGCTGGGTTCATTACGATGCAGCGTATATCAGAACCGCATTTTGTTAAGAGACAGGGTCTTGCTATGTTGCCCACAGTGGTCTCAAACTAAAGCAAGCCTCCCTCCTCAGCCTCCCAGGTCTCTGGGGTTACAGGCGCCTGGCTCCTCTTTCTCGGGTCTTAAAGACGCTTGCAAAATAACATGAGAGCAAACTCGTTTGGGTTTTTATGACCCCTGCCCCCCTCAATCTGTTAGAGTTGTCTTGGCTCACGTCCAGTACAGTGATAAGTATTTTTAGCTTTATTCACTCCAAAATATTCAACTTAGATTTTTGTTTTGGGGCAGGAGCAACAATTCTGGTTTGTTCTACCCTATTTCATTAGTTTACATAATAATTGCATCATGTGGTTATATAATAAGTCTAACCGGCACAACCAGGTTTGGAAACAACACAGTGGCTTTCAGCAAGCACTGGGCTCACCGGGTAGCAGCAGAGACCGGGTATTCCCAGAGAGGAGCCCCCAGTCCCTAGGGCCACGTGCACCACTGCATGAATTTCATGGACGGGGACGGGGCCTTCCCGGAGCTGGAGCGCCCAGGAGACGGGCGTCTGCTAAGACAGCTTCCCTTGTTCCGTTTTCTATCAGAACCACCTGGAGCGGGAGAGGGACGTTTCCCAAGGCAGCAGGGATCCAGGTGTCCCGGGCAGGTGAAAACGCGAGGCGGCTACTCCATGGCCCCACCTGTGCCCCCTGGTGGTGGCTGTTGGTGGTGCTGCTGACCACAGGTGGGGCCAGAAGCAAGCCAGACCCGCCCCTGGCAGGTCTTCTCCCGAGCTCAGCCTGACCTGCAGGCTAAAGCCCCAAAGCTGCTTTCCTCCTCCTTTTCCATTTCTGTTTCATTAGGGAAAAAAACACCAAACCCAACAAATCCCCCGTGCACCCCAGCGAGTTAAACCGTGGGAAGAAAGGCTGCAAAGTCCACGCGCCCAGCGCAGTCGAGGCCCGGACAACCTACACCTGCCGCGGGTCCTCTCGCCTCGTTTCAGCCGGGCGGACACGCGCGACGCACCGCTGTCCGTGTGTGCTATTTCAGAGCTTGCTGGGCATTCGAGCCCCCCAGAGCCCGGCTCCACCGGCCCGTTAATGGGACCTCCTGTTTCCACAGCTTGGTCCCCACTCGACGCCCTGCTCCGGCCATCGTGATCACGCGGCTTCCAGACGCTCCAGGCACAATCCCTTCGGCAGAGCCACCTGTCCTTCCAAGCCAGCTCAGGCCCTGGAGATGGCTTCTTTGTGGACGCTCCTTAGTACTGATTCTCTGCACTTACCTGACTCGTCCTGTGCGCTATTTGCTCTGCATCTGTTGATGAGCACGTCTGGGCTCCCGCTGGGTGGGGCGCTCCCGCTGGGTGGGGCGGTTCTCTCTGAAGGCGGGACATTGTCAGCATCCTCCCCCCTCGTGGGGAAGACAGGTTTGCAGGATTGTCTTTGCCCTGCCCCACCCCAAGACAAGGGGGCTGACCCCAGGAGAATCCCCCGGAGTTGGGGAGGGCTGCAGGCAGCATCTCAGCCCTGGCCAGCTGCGCCCCTGCCAGCCCATCCCGGCGCTGCCGCCAGGGAGGATGTGGTGAGAGAGTTCTTGGGGGAGATGTGACACGTGTCCCCTGAAGGTGGGACAAATCTGAGCTAGAGGCTGGTGCTGGCTCTCCTCTGGGAACTCCAAGACCAAAGCCTTCTTCAGTGGACCTCATCGGCAAGGCCGTGAGGGACAGTGGGATGGTGGGTGTGGGAGGGAAAGGATGGTTGCGGGGTTGGCTGAATAATCCCCCCACGGTGGCCAGATCCCAACCCTTGGAACCTGTGAGTATGTCACCTTACACAGAAGAAAGCATTTAGCAGATGTGATGAAGTTAGGGAGCTTGAGAAGGGGAGATTACCCTGGATTATTCAGGTGGGCTCGTGTAATCACAGGGTCCCTCCCTATGAAAGGAGGCAGGGGGTGGGAGGTAGAGAGGGGAGGGGAGAACAAAAGCAGAGGGAGGGGGACAGGGAGTGGGGCTGGACAAGGCAAGAAAACAGACTCTCGCCTGGAGCCTC